CTACGAAGCGAATGGAAGATATACTAGATATTAATTCAATTATAAATATATCAATTCATGTGAATATGACTGAACATTTTCATTTTTTTCTGAAAAGGTGGCATCTATTTACTTGTGACCACGCTGTGTATATGGACTGGCACGTACATCCATTTGATGGTCTTACCAAACAGTTAATTTGCTTTTTGCCATCCATCAGAGAAGCAGCCGCTCTGAATTTTATGCAGTACTGCCTGCGAAAACTTCTTTTAAGGCTTCCAGCTACATCCTTTTGCTACTTGTGGGAAAACTGAATGCTCCACCAACCTTATGGAGGATGTTGATTCTCTGCGAGATAATAAATGCCCAACCAGCTTTCTCGATATATGTAGAGAAGGAACCATCTGTGGCTATGATGACAAGTGACTGTCCACTATGATATTCAACTAGGTGCTGACAGGCTGCTGTTAAATCTCTACATTTTCTGTCTAGCCTGATTTCCACAGATCACAGTGGTGCCAGATGTTTATTCCACGTGGATAAATCTGATATCTGATAGTGGTTGTATAGCACCTGTTCACCCATGAAACTTTCTCCAGTATCACCCAGAAGCTTCTCCTTCAGAAGACCTGTATTTCTGAAGAAATGTCTCTCACAACGTTATGGGTTATACTTATTTGTGAGATGTTCCTCTTTGTAGCTAAAGAAGCTCGCATTTTATTGATCTGCTTTTTATTGTGGTATGGAAGAATTTATTAGGTAGGTTCGACACTATACTTTAAGCACATATACATAGCATGGAGGATCTTCATCTCTCACATATATATTGCATGGAGGATCTGCATCTCTCACACATATATATAGCATGGAGGATCTGCATCTCTCACATATGTATAGCATGGATGATCTTCATCTTTCACATGTATATAGCATGGAGAATCTACATCTCTCACATATATATAGTATGGAGAATCTGCATCTCTCACATATATATATAGCATGGAGGATCTGCATCTCTCACATATGTATAGCATGGATGATCTTCATCTTTCACATGTATATAGCATGGAGAATCTACATCTCTCACATATATTGCATCTCTCACATATATATATAGCATGGAGGATCTGCATCTCTCACATATATATATAGTATGGAGAATCTGCATCTCTCACATATATGTAGCATGGAGAATCTGCATCTCTCACACACACACACATATATATATATATATAGCATGGAGGATCTGCATCTCTCACATATATATATAGCATGGATGATCTTCATCTTTCACATGTATATAGCATGGAGAATCTGCATCTCTCACATATATATATAGCATTTGAGGATCTTCATCTCTCACATATATATAGCATGGAGGATCTTCATCTCTCACATATATATATAGCATGGAGGATCTTCATCTCTCACATATATATAGCATGGAGGATCTTCATCTCTCACATATATATATAGCATGGAGGATCTTCATCTCTCACATATATATATAGCATGGAGGATCTTCATCTCTCATATATATATAGCATGGAGGATCTGCATTTCCCAGACGTGTTTTCTTTGTAGTTTGGAGAGCCTAAACTCCCGATTTGTTTTAATATTATTTTATTTAAAACAATAATACTTTTTATTTTTCTAAATATTTTAAAACCATATATTGTATTCCTTCTAAGCGAGTAAAAATATAACAATGCAAATCGAACGCGCAATTTAATGTTCACGTTTAAATAAATGTCTCATTAAACTGATTTTTAGTTTGTTGACACCTGTACTGTAATATAAAGCCAACTTTAATATGCATTGAAATTCAGGTGTTTGCACAGTAGCAAAGAACAATGGTGACATAGAAAATCATATGCCAGTGGTCCCGGATGTTTGTTTTGTGTCTTGGCGTTCCGCTTTGCTTAGTGGGCTGAGGAACAACGGTGGGTGGAAGGAACTGATTTGCCTTGCGCGATTACTACTTTCCAGCTGAAACATTAAATGAGAGAAGCCTCTCATGTCTATAAAACACCCAGGGGGCGATGTTCGACATGTTCTACATGCTTTATGGCGCACGTGACCAAGCAAAAACCCATCAATATAATGTTTTTCATCCATACATACCGTTATACATTTAGTTTGAGAGGGGCCATTTATCTCCGCTTGAAACACCTTTAAAGTGGGTGATTTGGTAATGAAAATAACAGTTAACAGATGATTATTCTGGCAGTATCTTACTTAGACGGTTATTTTTTAACAGGACAATGAAATAGGTCAATATACGCACATACGATGTAGGGGAGTGACTGCAAAATAGATCAGATTTTTATACTTTGTTATTTTATCTTTACAATATCTAATCGCTTAAGGGACCCTTACCTTAGAACTTTGAGTTTGTAAAGAAATTGGTTATTGGTTTTAGAAGCGAAGTGGGTTTATTCCGAAGTTTCCGTAATCTCCATTAACCCTTTGGTAAAAACCAGGAGGTTAATAAAGATGACCCCTGTGAGTTTCTGCAGGATTGTTCATTTGAGAGCAAAGCTACTTTGGGCTATTCGTTGTGCCCATCGCGAGGAATCGAATCAGGATTTTGGCGTTGTAAATCCGTAGACTTACTGCTGTCTCTCGGGGGACATTTCTGCAGGCACTAATTTTAAGAACTGAGAATAATTATTTTGTGTGTTCCCTAACAACATTTTAAGAAAACTCAGTTGCTGAGTGTTTGTTGTTAAGCACAAAGCTACACAATATGTAGTCTGTGCTCTGCCCACAGCAGGAATCTAAACCTCATTTATATCGCGAAAATCTCTTATTCATACTTACCGCTGAGTCAGCAGGTGGCGTTATTAATAGTAGAAAACCTCCTTTATGTTTTCCTAAATCGCACATTTGTTGATCCCTTACTTCAAATAAATCAATATATCAATAAATAATAGGAATGAAATCATCCGTAGAATCAACTTATGTAGGGTTATTTAAATTTTGTTTACTGTAGGTTTTTTTTGGGGGGGGGGGATTTGAGCCATATTATTTAAGTTCAAAAATGTATTTTTATGATTAAAGATATGAAAAGAATTAATTAAGTTATCATACTTGGATAAGTGTGGTGATAAAACACATTTGCTTCAGTCGCATCTGAAACATACCACTTCGATACATTTTGAATTACGGAGCTAGAAAGCCAGTTTCGAACCCGTACATCACCACAAAATATTTCCCCCACTTTAAGCTGTGTTCTAACAGTGATGGGAAATCCCTTAGCGTGGATAACGGGTAGTAGAGTGCTGCCAACTGGCTACTTTCCCTCTGGTCAATAGTTCAAAATTAGGGGATGTGACACCCTTTGTTCTCCTGAAGAAGAATAGTCAAATATTCGAAAGCGCTCGAGTTTTGGGTCTTATTTTAAGTTTATTACACTTTATATGTGATCCTTTCTGCTAACTCCTTTATTAAGACGGAATGCGACAGATAGCCTTAGTAGCTTTGCCATAAAGATAAAATAAAAACACATATTTACGATATCACAGAGGTATTATAGCCCGTGACTTACTTGGCTACATGAAGAACTCTTCTGTAACTGACGTTTCGTATCAGATAAGAACTGTTTCTGATGTACGATGTAGTCGTGAAATAATCATGATTTTAATCATTTTGTCCTTCTCCTTAGATAACTAGTCTCCTGCTTGGCTAAGTGAATGTGTGAAACTGCGTAAGTGTCAAAGTATATTAAACATAAATATTTATAGAAAAGCAGACTTCATACAGCAGAAAAGCCTAATTCTTAAATACTATTATTTAGTTTTAATAGGAGTCTGATCGCTTACTAATGCTTCTCTAACCTAGACAATGAAGATCTTGATATGTCAAAAATTTTTATAAACACAATAAGTCTCAGTAACAAAAGAAACCAATAAATAACAGGAAAAACATAATTTTAGTTCTTTGTTTTTATATTATTTTTAAAAGTATTATCAACATGTGTTTTAAATTTATTTTTTATTTTCAGAGAGATGCATCAATTTGAATCTAAAGTTAATAATTTTAAAGCTTAAAGCTTGTACAGTCAAAGTCAAGACAGACAATAAGCCAAGTAAGTACCTTACTCACAATCGATCGGATTGTATTGATTTTAGAATTTTTTCCCAGTGTTTCTTTGCACAGTAGTTATACAGAATATAATGTATTATGTGTATTGAGTGTATTAACTGAGTTCCTAAAAGAAACGTCTTTGTTATCTATCTGGCCAATCTTGTTACTTACGAATACTTCTCATTTCAAGGAGAAAAGTAAGCCTTTAATCAAATTCAAATCTATCAAGCGATTTACAGTATAAATGTCACCGTTAAGTGAGCTAATACATTTGGTTTTATAGCATTAATTTTTTCTTTATCAAGAATAATTTCACCTTCAATAAGTACATGTTAATCAGAACATGAGCTGGAAATTTTTCAGTCTAGTAAAACAAAACAAAAATAAACAAATACGTATATGATATAAAAATGCATAATCTGTTTAATGGTTCTAAGAAAGTGTGTACATTTTCATAGTGAGAAGAGTTTCTGAAACTAACAGTCTATATTTATATGTATGGTGTTTAAATTATGCTTTACTTACCTCATTGGGCCTATACTTACACGTGTGTTTTAACAGTATGCAACATAAATGTTACTCACATATTTATCAACTTACGAACAACACAAAAACCACGTATACAAGATTCGTGAAATTTGTTAATTTCAAAATGGGGAATAGGAATCGTCAAAAAAGTACAGAGACAAACTGAATCAAAATATAAAGATTATATTTTCAATCTTACAGCTAGGGACTCGAAAAAAAGGTAAACAAACAAGGCTGTAAATAGTGTCTACATTAGTTTCTCAAGCTACAAATCCCTATTTTGACTCCATGTCTACAGTACTTATCAATTTTACTGAAGTCAAAGTATGGAGATTTGTAATTTGAGAAAATAATATAAACACTTTAGGCCTCAAGTTTCGTTCTGGATGAAATTCACAGCTTCTTTGATAAGAACAAATTATGTTTTCGGCTTGCAATTCTTTGTGCAATATTTGTTCCAAAACTTGTGAGACATTATGTATGTTTACGTAATAGCATTCAAATATAACCCCAAAGAACAGTGTTAAACAAAAAAAAACTAAATTCTTTACTAAATAAAACCTATAAACATTTTTTTATCATTAGAGTGTTACATATAAAATCGAATTAATCACGAGCTACAACCCTAAAGGAATCACAGAGCGATGTATAAAACCATAGTTTGTTACTCCTAAAATACATAGTTTTTCCCTTACTCCTAAAATACATAGTTTTCCCTTACTCCTAAAAATACGTACTTTTTTCCTCACTCCTAAAGATACGTACTTTTTTTATTTATCAAACCACGAGGAACCGAGTCAAAAATAAAATAAAAAAGCACATCCAATCCACTGATCTAGTTAATTTAACTCACGTAAAGATGATAAATTTTGGAAAAGCGAAGCTGTTGACACGAATAAGGTACAATATATAGTGTTTTTTTTAACCAGATTAAGATTATATGCTCCATATATCTTGAATAATTACATAAAAAGTGTATGCACCTGAAAGCAGGCCACTGTACCTTCCCCATACCTTTGCTGCCTCGATTGCTTTCAAATTAAACTAGAATAGGTTCTTGATATTTCGACTTAGTGAATCTTTTATGGTCATGGTGAATTTCTAGAGCAATTTTGAGTTTTTCAGATCCGTGAATTCATTCCGGGTAGTTTTGTTGTGAAACCTGGTCCTTGGCCTTGATTTGAGTTGGCCTTAAGCAATGATTTGTAAAGAAAGAAGGTCACAGTCCGATATTTGTATACAGTGATGTTTAACGCCCTTTTAGGAAGAATAGATTACCAAATTGTCCTTTTAAATCCTTGTACCAAGAGGGTCGTTGAATTTGTGAGCACGTCTTAGTCGTGGTGTGTTGTAAAATAAATCTTACATGTGACTTGTTTTTCTTTCGTAAGTTCGTAACAGGATTTTACGAAAACCATAATTAACTTTTAAAAATCCCATTGATTATTCCATGCAGATGTTGTTTTTCCTTCTTCTAATATAACATTCTCTAAATTGGTTTTTGATCAAGATGATGCAATTATAGCTCTTTTATTCGTGTAGCTTTGTTTCGATATTCTTCCAATTATCCGCAATAGACAATGCACATTGATGATAAGAAAATAAAAAAATATATATATGAAAAAGTCAAGTCATGAGAGTCATTGTTATAATGTACAATTTTATTTTTAGCTTTGCGTAGCACGTTGCTATAGTAACACGTACACTAACTTCAGACTTTGGCTATCGAAATTTCTTTTTTAAAATTTGTATTAAGCAAAACATTTTAAAAGTGCAAATTCAGATCATCGCCGTTGATCAACGAAAACAGCTGTTATTTGTCAAATATAGATGCCTCTTGGGGGCTCAACTGAGGGCTAATAACATAAAAAATTGGGTTGCAATGCCAGTAGTAGGCAGAGCACAGCAAGCCCATTATGTAGCTTCCCGCTTAAACACAAACAAGCAAAATATATATAAACGATTTATAAAGTAATAATGAGTCTTGAAAATTGAGAAGTAGAGATATAAAATCAATAAAAACCCAATGACAAACTTGTAAAAATCAAAAATGTAACGTAAATTTATGTGTGTACGTGGGTCAGGCATGGCTTAGTGCTGAAACTATACATCGGCGGGTTCATGGTTTCCGTCCCGTTGCTGCAAAACTCGTCTTTCATTTTGGGACTGCGGATGTGTTATAAGAGTGATGAAATCCTACTAGTCTAGGAGTTGGGGGTGGGTACTACTGACGATTGTCATTTCTTTATTGCTGCTTTCCCTATAGTATATTAATTCAAAATTTGAAACAATTATACATAGACAGCCCTTTTGTAGCTTCGCGCCAAAAAGTCAAACATACAAGCAATATACGCTTATGCACCTAGATGTTTTATTCAAACTTTTTAATTTTGTTCTTAAAGAAAGTGTTGAAAGTTTGTTTTAAAATACAGAATATTATACAATGTATTATACTATAGAACAACAGAAGTAGGTAAAGTCTAACAGCAAAACACTAACCTAACCTCACGTATTATACTATAGAACAACAAAAGTAGGTAAAGTCTAACAGCAAAACACTAACCTAACCTCACGTATTATACTATAGAACAACAGAAGTAGGTAAAGTTTAACAGTAAAGCGCAAACCTAACCTCACGTATTATACTATAGAACAACAAAAGTAGATAAAGTCTAACAGCAAAACACTAACCTAACCTCACGTATTATACTATAGAACAACAGAAGTAGGTAAAGTTTAACAGTAAAGCGCAAACCTAATCTCACGTATTAGACTATAGAACAACAGAAGTAGGTAAAGTCTAACAGCAAAACACAAACCTCACCTCACGTATTATACTATAGAGTATAGAATAATAGGGTTGGTAAGGTCGAACTATAAAACGCAAATCTAACCTCACGTATTATACTATAGAACAACAGTGGCAGGTAAAGTCTAACAGTAAAACGCAAACTTAAATGAAAAAAAAATAATGAGGTTGAGAGTACCTGAGTTATAGAAGGTAACACTATAAATTGATTTTGCCTCAGTGTAATGGCAAAAAAATATATATATATTTAATTCTCATCACGATTTCATATTGATATTGAACATTTGTAGAAATTCGTCAAGCATCCATTTGCTCTTTATATTAACCAAAAACAGGCTGGGGTTTTAAAAAAAGATTATTAATTAATGATATACAGCCAAGATCAAACTTATTAGCTAATTTTGAAGTAAATATAATGCTGTGTTGTTTTGGTTAATTTCACTATAAATAATCACTGTTCTGCTTCATATCGCAGTGTCTAACTAAGGTTATCACTGACGTTTGTTTTCTTGTTTTGACCCTAAAGTGTGTGCGTTAATTGGAAAACTGAAACATTCAACAAAAATAAAAATGCCACCAGAGGGCTTTGTTTAACGTTGGATAACGCGAGACGTTGTCTTAACCACATTTGATAGTTTAGACGGATATCGTTTTTTTCTTATTTATATTTGTTTTACAATCGGTTGTTTGTACACAGAAAACTTAGCAAAGTGTGTTTGAAACTAAATACTTCATTAAGTAGTTTTTCTCATAACATTATCTGTAAAACCTTTGAACATAAATAAATATCAGTGAGGATATTTAGTTAAATAAGCCCAATAGTATGAACAATATGACATATATTTTTGACTACAGCTAACTTCTACGTGTACTGTAACCACAAGTGTTCTTACAGATGGCTGTTTTTCCCAGGCTCCTTTACCAGACCTTCGGTCAAATGACGAAACAAGTTGCAATCATTTCGAGGAACGTCCATGTTCATCAGGATTTTTAAAAAACCAAAAAAAAAAACATGTGGCAACTTTTATTTTTATTTGCCTGGTTTTCTTGCTGATGTTAAAAATAACTTGTTCGAGAAAAGCAGCTTATATTCACCAAAAAAGGTAACATAAAACGCAAAGTCAGATACAGTAATGTATAGTTGAACCAAGTTTGGACTAGTGCAGCGTTTCTCTAGCTTTTCGATACCAGCGACTTGTTCGCTGCTTCCCTAAATCATCGCGGACCACTAAAATGCAAGTACGAGCATTTTGTCGCTTTTGTCTCTTTCTTGTTTTCGTAAAATTCAGCAAAATGAACAGGTGGTCGTGATGGACCGTCAGCGGTCTGAGGACCGATGATTGCGAAACGCTGGCTTAGTGTTTAGTGTATCAGGCTGCGGATCGGATCGAAGGGTCCAGGGTTCGAGAAGTGAACACACTTTACACTTTCAACTGTGCACATGAACGCGTTGTAAGAGTGACAGTTAACTCCTTTGTTCAATTCAAAATAGTCTGACAAAGTCTACATGGCGACGGTTGCTTCTGGTTGACTGCTTTTCCTAAATCTAAAGGGTCTATAACTTGGACGTTTGATTAACGTGTGCATAAGATACTATTTAATTTATCGTTATACGTACTTTTGATGAATTATTAGCGACGTTTACATATTATCTAAAAACATTA